TCTGCTTGAATTCTTCTGGTTGATGGACAAATTTATCAACAAATTAAAGGGACACTTATGGGACATCATCTTCAGGACTTATAGTGGAGGTTATCAAACAATATCAAGAAACCATAGTGCTTATACAACCAAAAATATGAATCAGATATCACCATAATATAAAAAAACCAATTAGACAACACTCACAGAACCAACAATAGCAATAGCTTAAACTTATATACCGCTTTACAGCCCTCTTTAAGTGGCTTACAGAGTCAGCATATTGCCCCCAACAATCTGGTAATCATTTTACTGACCTTGGAAAGACTGAATGAATCTTGAGCTGGTGAGAATCAAACCGCCAAACTTCAGGCAACCGGCAATTAGCAGAAGTAGTTTGCAGTACTGCATTCTAACTACTGCAACACCAGGGCTCATGACATTTTTAAAGGAGAAGAAGAAAACAACAACTCACTATCCTTCCTGGACATCCTGATCAGCAGAGAGCACGGTTGCAAGCTAGAAACACAAGTCTACAAAAAAACCACCTATATTAACCAGGTGCTCTACTACCAAAGCAATAACCCAATGTCTCACAAGAGAAAACATGTAAGGACTTTATTTAAATGAGACCAAACACACTGCAGCAACCTGTAAAGAAACCTGTGCTGTGGTTTCTTTACATTCTCCTGTAATAAACTGATTTTGATCTTTATGTTTCTTGATTAAAATAGTAATTATCCCCAGCCAGACCTTCCATTGAAAAATCATGTTAAAGTAAGAGTTTTTAGAAATTGTTTATTTTTTGTGAGCAATCCCACAATTACCTATAAATTAATTCCAATTATATTTATGTTTAAGTAGAGATGAAGAGAATTATAAGGTCAGCTCGCTTTCATTTGCTTTTTTAATTTTAATTTTTCATAATTCAAGACTTCTTTCTGTGCTTTTATACCTTGTGTAATATGTGAAATACTGTGATTTTTAAAAAATAATAATTTTTCATTGTAGTTTATGTTGTCTATATAGTCTGGATGTAAATTAATAATCCTAATATAGAAAGAAGCTTATTTTAGTGCAAAAATTGTTTGTAATTGTAATTGAATGTTACAATTCAATTTCTTTTTCTTCTCCTTTTAATTTACAATCAATGACCTCTTCATTCCATGTGCCCATCTCTTATCGATAAAAAAGTCCATAAATTTTTGTCATTTAAAGCCTGGTCTCAGCAAAAGTTTATTAAAGATTTTCCCTGTCCAGTTGTGACCAACTCAAGGAGATGGTGCTCATCTTCAATTCTCAGTTCAGGGAGTCTTTTGTTAGCTGATAGATATTTGTGGCCGGTATGAAAATACAGAATTCAGTAACCTTTCCAGCGTATCTATGGTATGCTATTTACCTATTGGTATTGGTATGGTATTTATTCGATTTGTAAGCCTACTTACATTTGTATGCTTCCAAACTGCTAGGTTGATAGGAATCCGTTAAGGGTTGTCAAAAATAACATTTTAACCTTGATCAAATAAACCAAGTTTGCATTTGTTCTTTCTACTTCTAACAAACGTAAAATTTATTCAAGTAATGTGAGAGAACTTGTTTTTCTTTTCATTTCTTTTTTATCCTTCCACATAAGATTTATCTGAGCTTTAACCCCATTTGTAAATCCAATATGAAAAATTATCTAAGTCACTCTTTGGTTTATTACATTTAATTCCTTTTTTATCATTAAGCACCAACCAATTTCTTTTGTATATGTAATTAAACATTGTTTATGTCATACTTTTAGCATAAAAGTATTGTAAATTGGCTTTTGATGCCATTTCCATCTTGTCAGATAAAACTTGTTCCTCTTCTGTCATTTCTTCCAAAACATTTTTAGGACCCAGTCTATCCATAGAGCAAACATTGCTACTAACATTGTTGATGTAATTCCAACTTTCAAAAATATTCTTTGATATTTACAATGTTATAATTGATTGATTTTGCATCATTCTATTGCTATTAATTAGGTTTATTTACTCTTTTCTTTAATTAAAACAGTTCTTTCTAGTGTCCAATTTTGAAATTGGTTAAATCTTTTATGTTCAGAACAAATTGATTTTGCCAAGGAAAGGAATATTTATAATTAATTCCAAAATCTTATTTCAAATTTATTTTGATTCTTAATCTGTTTGTAAATTTCTAAAAGCAATTTTTATTAGCTTCTTGTTATTTATTATAATGTGTAAGTTCTTAAGTTTGTAGTTTATTTTTCTTTCATTAAAAACTGAAGACAGACTCACCTGGTGTTTTCAAATTTGTCAATCCAAAGTTTTCCATCTGCTGAAAAGTAATTAATAAGCAATGTATGAATATGATTGGAAAACAAAGTGAACAGTGTCTTTTTAAGACTGTAGTTTGAACAAGATGGCTATTCCCTCTTCTCCCAATACTCAAAACCTTTTAGGGACTGCTATCTCATAGTTTCCTCAAAAGCAGCAACTCTCTGGAGCTCTAATTGCCAATCTCCCATCATAGCTGGAATTCTTCCTTCATCCACATTCTGCCATTTCTTTCTATAGAAGTAACATTATTCCTTTTTATGTACTCAAGGAGATGACATTGTTCAGGCTCAATTTATCTCAGTTATGACAACTGTGTTAGATTGGCTAGGCTAAATGAAATTGATCAGCCCAAGATAACTTTCATGGTTAAATTGTGATTTGAACAGAGTTTTTTTAAACTTTTATTCCGCTATATCATTCTCTAATTGTTGCAGCATATGTAATGTTTTTATTTCTTTCTCCAATGCACTTACAGTATAATTGCTAAGTATACTCTTACGTCTCACAGACTCTTTAGCACAGATATAGGATAGAAAGAAATAGGAGTAGGACTGCAAATATACTTCACAGTCTTGCAGAATATGAGACTAAATCTAGATATTGTTGTGTATACATATGATTGATCCATAAAACTGTAACTCTTTGCTAATGTTTTGGAGAATAAATCTCACTGAACTCACTGGGACATATTGCCAAGTAAACATTCATAAAAGCCACTATAAAGCTATCTTATGAATCTACATGAATGTGAAGAATCCAAGAAAGGTAGAAAAAGAAAAGTTTTGCTACATAATCTAAGAGATAATGGATTGATACTCAAAAAACACATGATGTATTCTTATTTATCATTTATTTGTATTAGTATGTTACTGGTTGACATTTATTGGGCCTATTTTGATATTTGGTTGGGATATATAATCTTAGATTTAATTTAATAAATAAATAATATTGCCCTCCTGACCTCCCAAAGAGAGTATGAGACTTTTCATAGATAAAATTTAAAATTTAGTAAAGCTTCGAGTAGCAGACTTAGTTTAGCAAATCTGAATACACAAAATTAGTCTGAACAAGGTCATGTTTCTTCTTGAAATGGAATTCATTATCAGTATTTTTTTCATATTCAAATGTGTTTTGGGGCTCCAAAAATCCTATTTGCCATTTGGTTTTAACAAACTATTTTACTATTAAATCAAGGTGCAATTATACATTAAACTAAGAAATTGTGAGAAGGGTCTCAAACTTCAACTACATTCTGGCATGCTTTCTTATTTAGGCATGATTTTACCTGTACACAGCCCAGAGTCCCTAGAAGATGTGCAGTTATGAAATTTGAGGGAAATAGATAGAGATAAATTTGCATGAATGAAGTCTGAATCCTGGCACTGCAAATGAACTAGATGAGAAAAGTAGGAATGGTGATAATTTGTAACAATTAAAATGTACTCTGTATATGCTCAGTAGCTCTATTATGTATGAGTTAGAATCTGAGTTTTGGATACTTGGTTATCCAAAATGCAATGAAATATTTATTACTGAATTGCTATGGCAGAGGAAAGAGGAGCACCTTTATGCCATTGCTTTCAAAATAAGATAATTGGTCTTTAGTTTCTAAACACTCAAATTTGGGAGGGGTGGTGTACAATATCAAGACTCCAAATAGAGCTGGACAGGAACATGGAGATCTTCTGATCCAACCCACTGCTCAAACAGGAGACTGTACCATTTCAGATAGGTCGCTGTCCAATCTTTTCTTAAAAACCTCTAGTGATAAAGCACCTACAACCTCTGTTTCATTGGTTAATTGTCGTCGGTGTTATGAAGTTTCTCCTTAATTCCAGGTTGTTTCTCGCCTTGATTAGTTTACATCCATTGTTTCTTGTGTTGCCTTCTGGTGCTTAAATGTATTGACAGCGTCAGATAGAAAAATGTTTTCTATGATTTTCATCGAAGATGATTCTCCCACAATTAAAAATGAAGGAAAAATATGTGACTATAAAATAGTCCTTTTTTTGGGAGGGGGGAGAACGACAATTTTTTATTAGTGTAATTTTTCCCAAAAAAATATTTGGCAACATCTGGAAAAATTCAAATCATTTCCTGTTTGCCAGGGTCTCATACTATGTGTCATGGAGCAACAATAAAGGAACTATCAAGAAAGGTATAATGACTGTCTACTATTCTACTCCAGCTTCCTATATAATTTAATTACAGTTATAACTATGGCCCTACAATAGATTCTCCACTGTATTGTGAATTGTTAACTTTGTAAATGTAAATAAAATAATGGCTAGTCAGGTGAGGGAATGTTTCTTCTACAGTCTCTCTCTTCAAGAGCTCTCACTCCTTCACCAAAGAGGCTTTAAACGCCGGCCATTTCTCCCTCCCGCCAAAACGGATTTCTTTCTCTGGTTACAGGCAATAAGTATCCCGGCAATGCAGAGAGTGTGGCTTCTCCAGATTCCGCCCAGAGCGTCTGATCCCAAGAGCTAGGGGTACTCAGGGCAAAGCGGGGGCGAGGTAGGGGGCGGTGGCTAGTTTGAGCGCGCGCGCAAGCGTGTTCTCGCCGTTGGTAAGCCGGGCGCTTTTGTCGGCTTGGCTAAAGTCGGCAGGAGCGGCGGCAGCGAAAGTAGCATCCATTCCCGATGCAGGAAAGTCCGCGGTGCTCCTCCTCCTCCTCTGCCCTCCTCCGACAAGCCATTCTTTCCTGGCAAACTTTGATGGAGAATTTCACACCGTGCTGTAAAAATGCCTGTTATGAAAGGATTACTGGCACCTCAAAATACCTTCTTGGACACGATCGCAACTAGGTTTGACGGCACACGTAAGTCTCGCCCAGGGAAGTCTTATCTCCTTATCAGAGGCGGGGAGATTCTCGTGGTACAGGAAAGAAGTATCCTGCTGCTTCTAGCCCAGGGTCCAGTTGTGGTTTGGAAAAAGAGATCCATGAAATAGTCGGGGAATAGCTTGGATCAAACTTTACTATTTATTTGTAAGGGGTCTTTTATTATCTTCATTCTCGTTGAGCTCTTAGAAACGTTGGCATACACAAAAGAAACTATAATCCAAGCTACGTCCCCTCCCCGTTTCTCCTAACCTCCCGTCGCCCACCTGAGCACCGGTTTTAGATACAGCGTGTTTAATCTGCATCTAAGTATGGTATATTTGGTATGGGAGAGGGACAAAAAAGCACATTTGAATTGCGGATTTGATTGTTTAAAAAAAATCAAAATCTCTTAAAAGATTAATTCTTAGAAACTAGGTTTTATATTGGCTAGACAGCTGTTGTCGGAGATCTGAATGAAGTCCATATCCGTCCGCTTAATGAATGGGTTTATTACGGCAGTGGAGAAAGAGAGAGAGAGAGAAAGAAAGAGAGGGAGGGAAGGAGGGAGGGAGGGAGGGAGAGAGAGAGAGAGAGAGAGAGAGAGAGAGAGAATGGCAAACATTCAGGACCCTGGATAGTTCCAGTCCCCACACCCACATTCTATATGTAAACCTATTTTTGTCAAGCTTCTTTGTATCTTTGTTTAATATTCTAGCTGTTCTTAGAGTTTTTGTTAATGAGTTACAAAGACATTTTTTCCTTCCATTCTGAACACACACATGCTGCTTCAGTTAACCTCTATTCAACTGCTTCCTTTTGATAAATTGTATTCATATAGAAAAGATATGCTTGTTTGTGTATGTCTGAATAATTGGACACATACATAAGCTGACATGCACATCCATGCACATTTTCAATGTATACATATTTTGTTGTTATCAACCTTAATATTTTGGGTGTAGCTATTTAAATAATAAATAACAGTGCATACATAATATTGGTAATTTCCTGTTTGCTTCTGAGAACAATCATTATTAATGAGTTCCACTATTAAAAAGGCTATATTTCTTAGAGGGCGGTTGCCAATGAATATTGTGTGGAAGTTACCATTCCTAATCAATAAGTGATACCGATAATGGTTCTTTTGTGAGTTTTAAGATGTTAATTGCTGTCCTAAGAGACAGAAATCAGTTGTAAAAATGAATTGTATCTTCTACTAATTTTGGAACAGTAAAATTTATTAAAAACCTTAAGCTTTTATTTTGGCATAAAATAATCACTTTGTTCAATTTGTTTCAGTCTTACTCCATTTTCATCATTTTAATTTAATTACAGACTATACCCAAGTATTTCTAACTGGAAGCTAATCCATACAGACAAAATCTTGCAGGATTTGACAAACTAGTGAAGCATCTCTATATAGTTAATATTATGCATTTTGTTTATCACAAAAGGGAAAAAATGAATGCTACACACCAAGTTAGATTTACTTACATATGTATATTAAATTAATATATCCACATTTACTTGTGTAGAACTATTCAAAGAAACTTGATTCTGAAGAATTGAATGCTGCATCACAGTTAATTTAAAGGACAATATATCTACAATGCAGCTAAATATAACTTAAGTTACTTGACTTCTGTTTCTAATGTGACTCGTAAATATTAGTATTGAGGGTGGAACACGATTCAATCAAAAACACTTTTTACATATTTCAATGGAGAAAGACACAAACAACTCTAAAATGAACACCAGTGTGAGATATATATTTTTAAATTCAAAAATTTGGTTCAGGACAAATTTCAGTTCTTCATTGATAATACTATTGTGAAACTGTAGATACTAAATTTAGATTATATAGTAGCAACATTGGCTATAATTAATGGAATTTCTTTTAATTTAAACCTTTGTGAGGATATATTACGTTGTCATCAGTAAGACTCTAATCCAGCAATACATCTTTAATCCAATGGAGAATTAATTCCAATTCTGGGCAATGGTAAAGGAAACAATTCTTGCTCATGTTGAAAAGTATGTTGGGATTTATATAGTACTGTCATTAAAGTATAAATATCTAGGAGGGGATAAAAATCAATGATATAAAAATCAATTTCACCTTTTTTAACCAGCATGAATTTCTCACATCATAACTTGAGTGAAATCTCTTGAATTTAATTGAAATGGTATAGATAGCAGCAGAGTCTAATAAGTGAAATGTAACACTCATCCATAAAAATATGGTAATTTATTAGATGAGATGAAAGATCTTCTTTCCCAAAGGCCATTTGAGAGACAGGCCATACTGATGATAGCCCCCAACTACAGTTTGAAGATTTTATTGATATCTAATATTCCCAGTGGGAATACCATGGTGTGCAGAAATTTGAGATTCATATAAAAACTTTGGTGATAGTTATGGTCTCAAATTTTCAATATGGTTTCATTTGCAATAACATGTTACACATAATGCCATAATAGAATTTTATTGTACTAATTGTTCATTTAAATTATGTTGTTTAATTGTTTGCTATCCCGATCCATTTCGAGTGGTATGGCTGAAAAATGCTAAGGAACACTAGTATTAATTGTATAAATAAAAAGTAGTTTGATTCCCATGTTATGAACCCACTTCTTCATATGGATTGATGCCAAAGAGCCATATAGTTCCTTGAAAACAGTACCTCCTATCTGTTTGAGTTCAGTCTGTTTTGTTCTATCCATGTTGCAGCTTCCAGATATTGGGTCAAACCTATTTCCAGTGTCTGGAAGGGCAGATGGAGATGTAAAACTAATTATATTCATCACATAAAGAAACTTCAACTTAAAATGATGAAAATAAGTTTCATAGAGATGTTTTAAAAGTATAGGTGAATCTTTCTTATCCTAGTAGTCTTATTTTTGGGGAAACATGGATAGAAGTTTGGAGACAGGGCAGTTGTCCAATATATCTATATTGAGGAAAGGCCTCTTCATATGCATGTCCTACTCCATAAAGACATTAAATATCAATCCAGTATAAACCCATTACCCAAATAGACTTGTTTCCTGGATCTATCTTCTCACACATCCAGCTTATGAAGAAGCTAGAAGAGCATGAATTTAAATCACAGGCTAATGCTAATTCACAGAGTGAACTGAATCCCAGATCACATTACAAGATGATGGCCCAGTGGTTACCATCATATATTGAGTCTGTGAGATGTCACATTTCAAGCACATTTGGGTGTATTCATCAGCATTGCACAAACACATCATTAGCAGTGTGTGAACTCTGAAGGGAACCGGGCTGAAGCCATCTTGTGTTGCTTCATAGTTGCCACAAAGCCTGAAAGGGGGAAGAGAGCGGGAAGTAGGTAGCCTGGCTAGCAAAACAAAAGCTTTTCCTGTGGGAACCAAGGTCATTTTAACATGTTGCTGTTGAAGGAAGAGACAAGCCTGCCAGCCATCCTAATTGGACAATGTGACCAGTGACACCTGGGAATGGGGATTTTACTCATTTAATTAAGTGAAAATTGTGGGAAATGCTATAGTCAATTTTCACCAGCTGTGCCAACACAATGTATCCAATAAAGATTTTCTTTGAGGAATCTACCTGCCTTGGAATTCTGCTTTCAATTGGTGCATTATTTGGAACACTAGCATAGTGCATGGCAAATCTTTCTCTTCATCATCTCTAATAGAATCAATATGATGAGAATTAATAAATAAACAAAGAAGAAAAAAGAAAGCAAATGAGTTTCAAAGTAAATTTCAGATTGTGTTAAGAAAATTGAGTGAAAGAGATTGAAAGTAATTACTAAAATCTAAGAAACCTAAACAGATTAGTTTCTACATTGTTTCTTTTCTTGCATTCTGGTACTTTGGAGAGTAGATTAACACCCCTCTCTTCTTTATGGCAGCCTCTCAAATGTTAGAACACTACTATCATATCACCCCTTAATCCTTCTTTTCACCAGGCTAGACATACCCTATTTCTGCAACCATTCTTCATATGTTTTAGCCTCAAGCCTTCTAATCATCTTTGTTGCTCTTTTCTGTACTCTTTCCAGAGTCTCAGCATCTTTTTAATAATATGACATCCAAAACTGAATGCAGTATTCTAAGCGGGATCTTACAAAATCTTTATAAAGTGGTACTAGTACTTCAGGTGATGTTGATTCTATCCCTCTGTTAATGCAACCTAAGATTGTATTGGCTTTTTTTGACTGCTGCCGAACATTGCTGGCTCATATTTAAGTGGTTGTCCACTAGGATTTCAAGATCCGTCTTATAATTACTGCTATTAAAACAGGTTTCACCTATCCTGTACCTGTACATTTATTTTTTATTGCCTATGTGTAAAATCTTACTTTTCTCTACACTGAATTTCATTTTTATTAGATAGGGTCAAGTATTCAACTCTGTCAAGATTCATCTTGAGCCTATCTTCTGGAGTGTTGGTTACTCCTGCCAGCTTCATCTGCAAATTTGATGAGTTCCCCTTCTATTTCCTCATCTAAGTTGCTTATGAAGATCTTGAAGAGTACTGGGGCTAAAACAAAGCATTAAGGTACTGCACTGCTTAAACTCCATGTAGAAGTAGTTCCACTAAGGACTGTACATTGAGTGTGCTTTGTCAGCCAGTTATCTGGTGATAAAGCTATCTATTCCACATGTTTTTTAGCTTACCAGGTGGTACGTTATAGTCTACTTTGTCAAATGCCTTAATGAAATCCAAGTCGATTTGTCCACTGTGTTTTGCTGGTCCACTAATTTAGTTACTTTGTCAAAGAATGAAAAAGATTAGTTTGGCATTACCTGTTTTTGACAAACTCATATTGGGTTCTGGTTATTACTTTGCTTGCTTCTAGTTCTCAGATTATTTTTTCCAGAATCTTTCCAGGTATTGATGTCAGACTGATTGGTCTGTAGTTTTCTGGATCTGGTTTCCCCTCTCCCTTTTTTTGAAGATGGGAATCACATCAGGTCATTTCTAGTCTTCTAATAGTTCCCTG